GTAGTGGTAGTGGTGCTGGTAGTGGTAGTAGTAGGAGTAGTTGGAGTAGGAGGTGGCGTAGGAGTAGGAGTAGGAGAGGACGAGTGGGAGAGGAGTAGGTGTCGGAGTACGGCGAGGATCAATTCAAATGAATTCCAATGATTTCCCAAGCAATCGGCAATTCATTTTTGTGCTTCTTCCGGCTCCACATTGGCGCAGGGGGTGTTTCTTGTTCAAGTTCAAGGTTCAGGCTACTGATGGTCCGCAGTTTGAGGCAGTATGCTCCTCAGAGATCAGAGCCGATGGGATTGGTAAATGCAATCCCCGGCTCGACAAACTTGTGGCTTTAGGGCCTTCCCAAAAGGACCCAGAACAGGGTGGCGCCAGGAAGTCCGTAACCGAGTTCTTGCGGTTTCATGCGCACTAACTACAGGGAGGTTTGCACTGGTACATGGTTGCAGCTTGACAGTAGACCTTTAATCAGCGACTTAGGAAGCGATCCTTTGAGACCTGGAGAGCCCCATGGGTCCTTGGCGGTAGACTCTCGAAGGTCTGCTCCGCGCGGCTTGAAAATGCTGTGCATTCGTTCGTTGGCGCCTTTTCCTACCAGAGGCTTCTCTAGTTCACACGCCAGGTAAGAGTATAGTAGTATACAGAACATGCACAGGTCACCGCCGAAGTAGAACCTAAGTGGAGAGATCCTCCTACGCCTCCTGCTGCTGCCCCTGCTCCTGCTCTTGCTTATGCTCCTGCTGCTGCCCCTGATGTCCTGCTGTTACTGCTGCCCTGCTCCTGCTGCTGCTGCTACTGCTGCTACTACTGCTGTTGCTACTGCTGCTGCGACTGCGACTGCAACTTCAGCTGCTGCTGCTGCAGCAACTGCAACTGCCGCTCTGACGGCTACGTCTATTGCAACCGCTACGGCGACTGCTACTGCTCCCGCTACTGCTGCTAGTGCCGCTGCCCCTGCTACTGCTGCTTCTAGTACGTTTACTGTTGAGACTGCTACCGCCACTGCTACCCCTGCTTGTAGCTGTGGCGACATTAGTAGTTAGTAGTTGCCGCGTTCAGTCAGTGAACTATATAGTTGGCTGGCCCAGATGGTTTTCTTTCCATGCTAATGCATTTACAGATGGTGACAAGAGGCCTCCCCACAGAGTTTTTCATCAGCTCCGTCACTCCCTCCCTACTCACTCACTGGCCTCATCACAGGCTTGACATTGCCGATCACTCAGCAAGACACAGCTGGCATGTGCTGTGCATATTCGTGTGCTGCACCATCTGGGTCTTTTCAGCTCCGTTTGTATCGGAGGGTCTTGGTAGGTTCCGGCTTGAGATAGGGTAATACGGTCGCAGTCATTCGTGTTCTGCAGTTTTTTTCCGATCGACCTGCTGAAACTGTAGAGGGCTTCGTGCACACATCGCAGCTACCGCAATCGAGCGAATAGACATGCACCAGGCAGCCAAGAGAGTCACCGGAGAAAATCATAGTACATTGCAACAGAAATACTGTTCGTACGAATATGAATGATCTTGAGAAATTGCCGATCCAGGTGGCCATGTGTGCTAGCGCGATGGCAGGTTTGCTTCATGTGGCATTGGTGCTGCACTTGCCGGTGCTGGCCACCTCTGACTTGTGCTTGGAGTCAGGTATTGCGGAGGAGAACCGTACATATTTGCAGGACGAGCAAGGAGACGAGCTCCCGATTGGCCTCTTCACTTACCACCGATCCTCTTCCAAAGTGGTGTCGCAAGTCGCCGCCATCTTGATTTCGGAGGTTCTGGGCTACCATGTGGGCTACAAACAACTTTGGTTCCCCTTCACCGTGCTGGAACAATCCCTCTGGCTTGCTTGCAGTGATATCGATTGGGGGGCCTGGTTCACGCAACCGTGCATCCCTGGCGAGAATCGGTTTCACATAGCCTTGGACGCAGGCTCGCCGGGGTGGCTTCAGCCATAAGTGTGCATTCCGATCCTGACACCCCGGACGCACCCAAGCAAAGGGTCTTTAGATTTGTGAAGAACTTCGAAACCGGCATCAGCCCCCCTCTTTTTGGGCTGGTGGGGGGGGGGGGGGGGGCACCGGGGGGACTTTTCGAAAAAACGCCACGAGCAGGAATTGGGTCGAGGACTGCCTACGAGCAGGCGTTCACCAATCCCCACTACGAGCTGGAGAAGTGCTGCGGGGACAGCCCAAGAGAGCTCGGCTCCATGGGGTGCCTTGACTTGGAAAAGGTTCCCCTCTCTTTTTGGCGCATGTGAGATTCCATCTAAGCTTGAGAGATGTTAGGGTTGAGGTTCAGGCTTTCGGATGTCAAATGTGCTATTCGGAGCTTCGCTGCAAGCCGGGAACCGAATGGATCTACGAGACAGTGCAGTCTGCCTTGCTGTGCCGAGGACAGCCCCCAAAGGCAAGCTTATAACCCAGCCTTTGCAAGTCGCGCTGAAGAGCACCCTGCAAGCCTTGTTAGTGAAGGTATCGTGGTCGACAGCAGCTCTACATGAAACGCGCACAAGTGGAGGCAGCATTGGAGGAGCGGGGGTTGATGGAGCTCTCCTTAGGCTGGGTTCCGCTTTCACGCTAAAGCCCCTCGAAAGTTTGCCCCGGCTTGATATCCTCCTTCTCCAATCTCCTTCAACGGGTCGGTGTTAGGGTTGCTGTAACAGCGAAGGGACTTTCTTAAGGATGTTTTGGGTCGTGGTAGGGCCTTCTGAATTCTGGCACTGTTGCTGCTGTTGCTGCTGCTGCTGCTAGATTAGATACAGCTAGTATCTGCTTGTTTTCTTCTGGTTACAGCTGCTGCTGGGTCTGGAGAGTGGAGAGAGCTACAAGCATTTACAAGCTTCGGGTTCGATGCAGACTTCGCTACGGACCAGTCCCTTGCTCAACATGCCATGCAGGATGCATGGGTGGCATTGTCAAGCCTAGTCGAAAAAGGGAAGGGGTGCACTTTTCGCGTTTCACAAGAATGGGCTACCTAATACCGAATACAGGCCCTGAGTCGTAGAATCGTAATTGTGAAATCAGAACTGGACGCATAATTTGGGACTGCCCCGCAGTGCGAAGAGGTTTCACAATACCGAGCTATGGAATCTTTCCCTCGCTCCGATTAGTCAAGTCTGAAAAGTGCTCGAGGCTCGAAGCGAAACTATTGCATCATGCTTGCTGCAGCGAGCCTTACCATGTGTGAGACGAAGCATCAACCTGAGCCGAACGCATGGCTTGTGCATGTATTGTCTACCAGTGGTGGGCGGCTTTTGCCTCTACGATCGAAAGCAATTTGGTATCGCAGTGCTGTTGCTGCCGAGTAGAAACGAGCAGACCATGAGGAAAATGAGTGTCATACTCAGTCATACCGATAGTATGATGTGGGTCATTGCTGCTTTTGTTCTGAACGTTGGAGGATGGCTTCATCCTGAACTTACATGGCAGCTACAACACCTCGCATCATGAAGCGAGGAAGTATTTCGATGGACTGGACTCCTTGAACTTCAGCCACTTCGATACGTGCAACCGCACGTTGAATCTTTGGATGCCCTCCAGTAGCTGGGTTCACGCTGCAGTGCCATAGTAGCTGTATATCGTAAAGTCGTAAATGATGGAGTTTTGTGGCTATGGTGCTAGGAACGGTCCTGAAGCTAACAAGAGTCCAGGTAGGGATCTGGCCTCGTACCTCGAATGGACCGGCGACGTGGAGGGGGTCACTCAGGATGCGGACGGATCTTACCAAGCTCAGTGCCTGGAGGACCGTTTCTGGATCGCACCAGCCTGCCGCCAGAATGTCACAAGCTGCATTGCCACAGTCACCTTCGGCGCCCTTCTGTGGCTCTCCATGATGCATTGGTCGCTGTGCTGACAGGGATCTCCCAAGCGAAGCTTCCCATGGGTTCGCTACCAATCGCTGGATGTTAACGAAAAATTTAGAACACCCACGTGCAAAGCCTAAGACTTGAGACGTAAGCGGAATTCTCGACATTGACAATCGAGGTCTACCGCCCATGGTTTGCCACTGGCCTTTGGAACCTACCCCGATGAGGTTAACTTCTTCGAGAAGATGAAGTACGGGAAAACCCTGTTCTACTGGTGGGAGCCGGAGAACTACCGGTAGCTGAGCGGAAGAAATGCGCTTCTGTTCCAAGTTTAAGTTCGCTTCCCAAGAGTGAGCAGCCCAGGTTTGACGTAGACAAGGTGCCTCTCATCCTACCTGTGCACAACTCCAGCGAGTGGGCTATGGGGAAGCGGAGGACGGAGGAGCCACCCGGGTATGTGGGGAAGCTGGTCAGCTCGAATCTCCAGAGCAAGGCGCCTCGAGTGTACACCTTGATCGAGAGGTTTGCTTTCGACATTCGGATCCTAGAGGAAGTGGCTCAAGTCCTTGCTGAGGGCGGCGTGTCGGCCGGAGATCCTCTTGGGGAAGGAAACGATGCGATCTTTCGCCCGGCCTGTGACTGGGTCAAGTCCAGCGAGTCCGTGTGGAGGAACTGGATTCCTCGACCCACCACGTGCGACCCAGGGTCTGGCATTGCTAATGCAGGTGGGGGTCATTGCGGATCTGCTTTCGGGGGTTTGCGACACAAGAGCCGATAGGGATAGGGCGACGCAAGTTCGGACTGGCTTTATCGGGTTTGCACAAACAAGACATGCTCTGATGAAGTGGCCCAGGTGGCGAATTTCTTCTCAGTCGTGGCGACGAAGCGGACGGTTGCAGCGTATGTTCGCCTGGCCGTTTCTCGGAGCCCCTTGTGGATGGCGACGGTTTCACTTACCGCTGTGCCATGTGCCCCCCGGGCACTTATCAGGAGTTTGGGAACCAAGCTAGGTGCAATAACTGCGCCTTGGGCCACGCAACAAATGCGGCGGGCGCTACGGAATGCGGCCTCTGTCCGTTAGGTACCTTTGCAGACCAGAAAGGCCACACGGCCTGCGAGAGCTGTGGGAACGAGGGCTGGACCACCAAGGAGCTCTTGAGCGATCTGGACGACGGCAGCAATGATGGTCGTGCTCGTCGTTGGATCGAAGTGGACGGGGCCACCTCCAAGGACGCTTGTGCATGCGTTGAAGGCCGCCACCTCTGGCAAGGCCAGTGTGAGTTGTGCCTGGAGGGTGCGACTTGTCTTGGACCCACGAACCTCACGCTCAAGCCGGGCTTCTTCGCTTTCCCCGAGGATCCCGGCAACGTTTTCCGCTGCTTTGGCAACTCGCAACGCTGCCCGGGTGGACTTCCCGGCAGCTGCGCGGCAGGCCGCGATAACCGCAGCTTGGCCTGTGCCCAGTGCCTGCCGGGGTTCCAGCCACAAGAAGATGGCCAGTGCCGCGAATGCGCTGCAACGGACTTTGCCATCGTCGTTGGCCTGTGCTTGCTCGGGGTTTTGGTTGTGGGCTGTCTGCATGCATCGCTGATTGCGGAGGAGCAATCAGCCAGCCATGGCAGGCAGCATGGGAGCCTCCTGAATGTGGCATTGGGCTTCAGCCAACTGGTGATGTGCGCGCAGGTGTTTGGCATCATGCGCAGGTTGCGGATTCCGTGGGAGGCCTCCTTGCACGGTGCATCGGCATGCATCGATGGAGTAATGAGCTAGAGCAGCTAGAGGGGATATACATGCATATGTAGCATACATGTATAAATAAATAAATAAATATATATATACATATATACACGCACACATACACACATCTGTGTATACATACTTACATATGTTCTGCATATATATGTATATAGATATATATTCATTTGCACATAGCACAAATAATACAAGCATAGATGTACGTATACATCTCACTTTAACTGTACCAATAATTGAATGCATATGTATATGTGTTTGCATAAATATATATATATACTTATATTCATATCATATTTATACCCATGCATTTGCATGCATACACACATGCACACACACATACATACATCAATATATATACATATATGTATATATACACACATACACAGACACTCGTATATGTATAGATATAAATAAATAAACATACATACATACATACATACATACATACATCCATCCATCCATCCATCCAACAGACGTACCAATTACCATCGATCTGCCTGTCAATGCTAGGGGGCTGCAACACTGCATTCAGGAGTGGCACTTTCAGCATTATCGTACCGCTCTTACGTCAGCGCCTCCCATGCTGATCCTTCAACTCCGGAGGTTTCGCTATGACAGCTGCGGTCAAGTCTTCAAAGACTTCCAGGCATTGGATGACTTGGGCGAAACTGTACGCATTCCATTGTTCACCTCTTCACGGGACCTTGCTGTGCAGTGGAAGCCATATCAGGTACGCGCGGCGCTTTTGCATACAGGTGAGGCTGCTTCCAGGGGACACTATCGCAGCATTTTGCGGAACGGTGAAAACATTGGGCATGTCACGGAGGATAACATGTGCGCCACTTTGCAGCCCTCTGCATCTCTGCACAGTGTGAGTGCCTCTGTATATGTCCTCATCTGCACTGAGGTGTCCGAGTAACCATCTTGCGACTGTCACAATGTGCTCCACTTACCAATGATGACATCGTCGCGCCTCAACTTTTATCCTGTGAAACTTGTGGATTGAGGTTCTGAATGCTTCGCTGTACTGCTACTCGTAGCTGCAGTGTTGCTGGGGGGGCACAAATGTGCGCACCCATGAGGTGCCGGAACCGAAGGTTCTGCCTTGACTAGCTAGGCGACGACTCGTTCGCTGCGTCCGGAAGANNTATGTGTGTATGTGTGTGTATGTATATATGTGTGTGTATATATATATATATTTATAGAAGTGTATGAATAATATCTCTATCTGTTTCGTTCTTTCGTTCGAGGTATACTCGTTTCCCAGATGCAGGGATTCCTGATGCCATCGTCCGGCTGCGCATCTCCCCCAACCTGATGAGATGATGTGAACTTGCTTGGTTTCCGATTTGCTGCAAATCAACCATAGTGTGAGATGCTATCTACGGCTCCCTTATCTTCGTTAGACATGATTCCCTTTTGACCCCTCTTCTGGTGGATGCTTCGCTTTTAGCTCCTCTCTCTTTCCCCAATGGGCGCTGGTTTGGATTGGAACTGCTATTGCTCCTGGGTCTCGTCTAGACTGGCTAGACACTTTCAGTGGTTGGATGCCGTGCAATTGCCCACATGTGTTGCTGGTGCTATCCGCTATCCAGTGTTGTTGGGTGCGTGTCATGACTGCAATGTGGGATAGTCCTTTGTAGCACGCCTTTGCCATCTCAGAAAGGCCAGCGATGCTTGGCATAGATACCAGTTCCTGTTGAGAGTCTCCTGTCTCAACGGTAAGCATGCGAATACACGTCCAAGTATCTCAATATATGATGTCCTCCTGGCGAAATGCGGAGCAGGCACGATTCATTTCCACACATCTGCTGCTCGCACACATTCTTACAACTTGCATTCATGCAGGAGCCCTTCTCGCTTCTGTTGAAGGCATCGGAATACCTGTCACTGGACGCGCTGGTGTATTCCTTCAGCTCCATGCAATGTGTTCTCCCATCGTCAGGAGTGGCAGATTATCTGACGGCCGCGTCGTTGCTTCCACTGGCCTTTTTCTTGTCTTTGGTGCTTGTGCACTTTGCCTACATTTGCTGGAAGAAGAGCGGCCTCCGCATGGACTTGCTGGGGAAGACTTGTGGCTCGTTCTCCATGCTCTTCCTCATTTCAATCATGTCGTCAATTCTGGAGCCCTTCTATTGCTACTCGCATCCGAATGGAGACAGGACCATGCAGTCCCGTCATGACGTGTTCTGCAATTTCCGGACTGAGCACCTGGAGATATGCATGGCGGCCATTGTCATGTGTCAGGTTCCGCTTGCCTTCCTGGCCATCTGTGTTCGGATTGTTTTGATCGACCTCCCGAAGCGGATTCAAAGGGCCGACGTCGACTTTGTGAATGCTTGTTCTTTCCTGATTCTGCGATACCGTCCGGGCGTAGAAGTCTTTGCAGTGGTTGTCTTGATCCGGAACGCCCTCCTGACATTTTCTCCTTTGATTGCGTCCCAGGCTGGTAGTTTGCTGGTGCTCTGCATTTCCCTCTACATAACACTCTGTGGGGCGGCGTTTTGGCGGCCGTGGCGGACTCAGCTGGCCACCTACACGGATCTGGCGATGCACGCCGGCCTGCTGCTGGTCTTGGACATGGGCAAGTTTTATGCGCCCCTCCTGGAAGAGGGCTACACGCTAATGATCATTTGCATCGTGGCTTGCTGTGTCATGCTCGTTTGGGGCATTTTAGTTGTGACGGGGGCCGCATGGCGCCGCTTCTCAAAGAACCGGCGCTTCCGCTTCGCCCTCAGCCATCACACGCCCGAGGCAGGAACATTGGCGCGCTTACTGAAGCTCGAGCTGCAGCAAAGGCACAACTTGCGGACCTTTATCGGTTCTGACGATCTGGCGGACCTGACGCAACATTTCACCTGCATCGCCCAGGATGTCGACACACTGGTCGTCGTGGCAGGTCGCGAATTCTTGCTACAGAGGTGGTGTGCCGGTGAGGTGGTGACAGCCAAAGCCCACGGCCTTGATGTTGTGCTTCTTGCTTTACCCAATTTTGTTATGCCTGATCGGCATTTTGTGGAAGCTTACGAGACCCTAGTGCCGCGCGTGCACGAGCTTGCTGTCCATGCGATAGATCTTGGGCAGATTCAAGACACACTCATATGGTTGAATTCGGTGGAACGCTTTGACCTCGTGGGTGGCGAACCGGAGATGCTCACACGTGCGGTCAGATGGCTGGTCGGTAACGATAGTACGATGAGGCATCCCTCTGTCGTGGAGGCCAGCCGCTCCATGAGTGCTGATCGGAGCACGTACCTCGTCCTAGCGGACACGACGCACATAGAGGCACAGGCCGCAGCTTATGCCCTGTACATGGTGCTGGGTGCGAAGATGTTGGAGCTGTCCTTCAAGGGATCGCTACGCGTGATGCGCCCCGGGGATATGGCTGACTGTATGTCTGACTCGGGCACAACACAGGCGTTGCTGCTCTGCACAGCAGGGTGTTTGGAGGTCCCTCAGGTAGCTCTTTGGCTTCTAGAGCTGGGTCGCCTCCACTCCAGCTTCATCCTGCCAGTTGTTGCGGAGGACTCCTTTCAGTTCCCCCATCCTGGTTACAACAAGCTTGCTGGCCCCTCCGGCGAATTTAACGATTTGGACATGAAGCTCTACACCCAGGTCCTTGAGGCTGTGTTCCATGAGATCTCGGTGCCCTTCATGCCCAGGAGCAGGGTTCGAAGGGATTCGGCGATGCAGGATTTCGTGCCCTTCTGGCTAGAAGTGAGTGTATGGAATTTGTTGTGATGAAACCGGCCAAGGTAACTATGCAGGAGCGTATTGATGATCAGCGGTGATGATTGTGCCAAAATGTTTTCATGATGGGAAATCCGTGGACAACGGATGGCAGTGGGCAAGAGAATATGTAGTGCTGCCATGTGCGATCAAGAGTTAGCACGCCGACACAGAAGCAACCGCAGACGAATGCGAAAATCAGTGCCAATTAGAGTAAGGCCACCAGCAGCAGAAGCAACGGCAGCAACAAACACAACAACCACAACAACCACAACAACAACAGCAGCAACAACAACAACAACAACGAAACAAACAGCAAAGGGGATAGCAACAGCCGCACAACCATCAGCCACAACAGCAACACTACCAACTTCAGCGACAACAGCAGCGAGAGCAAGAACCGCAAGAAGAAGAAGAAGTAGTAGCGGAACCGACAGCGACAGCGACAACAACAAAAAGGACCGCAACAGCAACAATGACAACCGTGACATTAGTAAGAGCAGTAGCAGTCAGTAGTAACAATAGCAACGACAACAGCAATCACAACAACGAGCAACACTAGCAGCAAGACCAGCAGAATTAAATCAACCAGCAATAGTGGCACCAGGAACAGCAGCTGTTTTTGTGTTGCCAGCATCAAGGGTAACGTAAAGTAGCAAGGCTAGTCATTGCCAGGAGCTCCAATGCGAGGCAGCTGGATCTCCAAGCAAAGATTATTGTGGAACGCCTCTCGCAGAAACGGGAGGCTCTGCGCACGAGACCTTCCATGAGCGTCTTGCCAGGTGCGGAGGGTTTGGAAAAGAACCTAGAAGGGCTTCCTAGCAAGTAGCTGCTGATTCCCCCAAATCTTATCCTGAGCAGCCAGGTACCACCTTGGAGAGTGCGGACGTGGAAGACTTGTTGATGATCAATCTGTCCCTTACTGATGGCTCCGACGAGTCCACGTTTGGGATCTAAACCCGCCTCTTCGTTGAAAAAGTTACTAGTTTCGTACCAGACATGTCTATGTGATTTTCGAAGAAAGAGAGAGAGGCTGGGTACCCTGGATCCCTGTGGCCCCAATCACTAGCCCGCTAGTCAAGGCTTCTTCATCACCGTGGGGCCACAGGGGTTGAATGACAGAGTCCCGACTCTGCGATAGTGTGACAAGTGCGCAATTTTCTCTTCACGGCTGATGTTCTCAGCTTTATCATGCCTGTCGGCAGCCGACACGGCACGGTCTTCGACTTCCCTTCGTTGTCAAGGGGCAGGCCTTACGCTTTGCTTTTCAGTTGTTTTACCCCAACACAGGTTGGACACAAGCCGGAGCGGGTCGCACGCTGCTTCGACCGGGTATGCAAGAGTGTAGTAGCGGGAGTCGTAGTAGCAGCAGCAGTCAAGGAATAGGAATAGGAACGTAACAGTGATAAGAAAACAGTAACTGCGATAGTAATAGGAATAGTAATAGTAGTAGTCATAGTCATAGTCGTAGTCGTAGTCGGAGTCGTTGCTACAGTCATGGTCATAGTAACAGTAGCGGTAACGGTATAGACTATGAGTAGTTGTAGCCAGAGTAGCAATGAGATCAGTAGTGGTAGCAGCAGTAGTAGTAGTGGCAGCAGCGGCAGGAGTAGTAGCAATGGTAGCAGCAGTAGTGGTAGTAGTATTACTACTACTAGTAGTGGTGGTGGTGGTGTTAAAGAAGTAGTATAGGAGTGGCAGCAGTAGCAGTAGCATTACAGCAGTAGAGCACTAGAGCAGACTAGCAGTCTAGCAGTATAGCAGTACAGCTGTTTAGCAGTATAGCAGCAGCCGTAGCAGTAGCAGCAGCACCAGCAGCAGCAGCAGCAGCAGCAGCAGCGACAGCAGCAGTAAGAGTAAGAGTAAGAAGAGTAAGATTAAGTGAAATTAAGAGTAAGAGTAGGGTAAGCGTAAGAGTAAGAGTAAGAGTATGAATCACAGGAATAGTCATAGTAACGATAATAGTAGCACACATAGTAAAAGAAATAGTGCTAGTACTGGGACACCACAAACTTTGCGTACTGATCCCCTGGGAAATCGGCCCAATTCCACAGCCATTGCGTAAGCACGCGGCCTGTTCCAGCTCCCAGATCCGTGCACGGTTTGTTTCGCGGGACTGCTCATTCATCCAAGCAATATTTCCACGATGAATGCTGCTGGTTTAGCATTGCCGGTGTTCTGGCTTATTCTGTTCAGGGCTTAGAGATTACAGTTTTGTAGCCTGTTTCAGGGTAAAGCCAGAACCCCCAGCCGCCCCAGCCTGCAACTATGCAAAGCGCAAAACACTTACACCTCAATTCGACCATCCTTAGCTTCACAACCTGGTGTAAGCAAGGACGACCACAAGACCCGGAGTGCGCACGATGGAATTCCCGAGAAGACGATGCCCGAATGACACCAAACCTTGGAGTCGAGTTTTGTTCCGCGCAGCAGAGGCGAATTCGTGCGACATCTGGGTTTCCTCACAAAAGACCCATGGCAGAGTGGCGAAAGGGCGAAAGAGACTCCGTAGCAGCTAGGCCAGCGGACCACAAGTCCTGAGGCTCTTGTTTAGGACCTCGGATGCCTCGGCATAGACCCGTGACTGCTCTGACATGCTGCTGTGGAGTTGGCACTTTCTTGCGCAAAAGTCTGTGGAAAAAAGCTGCTTGAAAATGAAGCTCATCCTCTGGCACGGTGTTGTGAGCTTGGGTCGCCTAGCCAGTTGTCCAAGAGGCATGAGCATGGCGAAGTCATCTATGTCAGACAAGGCAGAATCCAAACACGAATGCGATTGACAAGATTGTCTGAGAGAGACGAGCAAGATCAAGACCACGTGTATCATTGAAATCAACAGCAGCAGTACAAATGAACCGTTCTCCTGTCCCTACTGCTGCAACAGCTACTAGTCTCACTATTGCCAAGGACTCGGCTGCTAGTGTGACAGCCACTACTGAGTCACCACTGACGCCACTGGTACTTCGTTGCTTGCTCCGGCTACTGCTTGTGCTGCTGGTCCTGCTACTGCTACCGCTACTGCTACTGCTACTATTACCTGCTACCCCTGCTCCTAACCCTAGTCCTACTCCTCCTCCTGCTGCTACTAGTACTGCTGTTACTGCTATTACTACTACTACTACTACTACTACTACTACTACCACTACTACTACTACTACTACTACTACCACTACTACTACTACCCCTACTACCACCACTACTACTATCGTCTGGATGCAGGGAACCTGGCCAAATTCTGAGTGCATTCTGAATGAGCCTGCGCCGCAGGTGATCCTTGCATACTTGATGAGGCACGGAATGCTGCCACCATCAGAGACTTGCCTGATCTCAGGGTTGACTAGCGACTATTTCGGAGTTTTCGGGCTCAGAGCGTTGCCTACAACTTATGTGTTCTTACGGTACACGCCTTGAAACCATCAGTCTCAGTATGAGGATATTGTGCCCTGTTTTTATATTCTCCCCGCAGTAACGAGTGAGTGACAATAAGTGACATTCGTTCTTTGTGGTCGTGTTGCGGCTCAATCGTTGTTGGTTTGCCTCGGGCTGCATCTGACGACCCCGAGCGGCCCGAGAGAGACAGACTCCAAGCCCGTATGCCATCATAAATATCCCTAAATGACCATAAAACAAAACCCGGGCTTCTGAATTAGAGCACGCAGCTAAAGAGAGCCAGGAGCAAATCCGAACAAAAATTCTCTGGCTCAGCAAGGTTTGGGTCTTCGTCAGGCTTTAGCGAAGCTTAACTGGAGCGCTTCGGCTTGCCATAGGTCCCGATTTAGCTATGTAAGTTGACAAAGCATCCGCTGTTTTGGTTCAAGCAGTCCATTGGGAGCCATCCCAACCCTAAGCCCCCACACCACAATGTTTCTGAGCCCTATTTGCTCCCCATAGCGCTCCTGGTAGCTATTCTTGGACAAGATGTTTATAGCCCTCCGGAACCCGGACACTTCCAGGTTCTGAAACTCCCATATAGATGGGTTCACTGCTTTCTTGTTCATGAAGGTTGCCAGGCCCCCAACCCCTACACGCTGAAGCACACTCCAATAGCCGGGCCCAGGAGAATGCGGCGCCCAAAGGCACCATCGAAAAGCAAGAGGCGCGCAGAATTACTGGCATCTGCGTGCTTTCTTGAAAGCATGGGTTCTGGCGGTTCTGGTGTAGCTTTTCCCGCATTTGCAACGGTGGGGTCAAAGCAGTTCTGGAGTTCTGGATATAAAGCACCGGGGATTAGCTTAACCACGTTTTTGACGCTAGGCTTCTTGTAGACACAAGTTCTAAATTCCCTAACGAACCTCGCTTGTGGGCTTTGATCCTTAGCTATGCGAGAGGGAAAAAAATACGCAGCCGAAGACATCCCAAAGTCAGAAGTGAAGAGGCTCCCAAGATTGTCATGCGATTGTTTTGTCCCTTTGCAACTGACCTACTAATAACACCCGGAATCACGATTGGCAGGTCTTCAAGTTCGACTCCAACCACGACTGGGGTCAGGGCCTCTGGCTTTGCTTCTTCTGTCGTCGCTGCGGGGATCTTATCAAGTGCCGGTGGTAAATATAGAGGCCCGAGCAGTTAGCGAGAAATGTTGCTGTTATTACCAGTACTATTATCATCATTGTTGTTACTATTCGTCATTATTATTATTCTTCTTTGAAAAAGCTATTCTTGTCATTGTGATGATGACTATGATACTACTTGTGCATCCCCATCACAAAGCCAACGGCGTTGTCTACTTCTTCAGGTCCCCACAAAGGGCTTACCTTAAACCCACACACCAAGACTGGGCCTTCCGATGTCTAAAACCCAAAATACCCTGAACGCTCTCGACCCGAAGCCCTCAACAAAAAGGTGTTCAGAGACTTTGAGGGTAAATTTCGGTGAACGCGTTCCGATCTGTTGAGAAGAGTTGCAGGATTTGGGTCTTGGGGTTTCGAGCTTGGGTTTTTCCCACTTCTGTGGCGAATGACCCAAGTTCGGAAGGCCGCCCCGAAACTAGGCTGTAGAGGTGAGAGCCACAGACACGGGGAATCTTCTGTCGCCAGCATATCGGCATGCTGACGCTGGGGTGTAGGGGCACGACCTAAACCCTACAGATCGGACCCTTGACTCCTCAGCCTCAAGCACCAAACCTTCAAACCTCCAGCTCAACAAGCTTATAGGAAGAATGCCTTAGCTTTATAGCCAGAACCGCTACTGCAGTCCTGACCCGAGATTGAAGGTGACAACAACTGCTGCTCCATTTGTTTGGAGGCTGGCAAGTGTAGCGCAGTCGAAGAGGTGCGGTTGAGGATATGCTATGTTGATTCTTTGGGACTGTGGCAACAGTCCACACATGTCTGCTGTTGGAGGAGACAGGCTCCAGGCCTGTGGTCCCCTTTGCCCCTGAAAAATGGGGCCGGCTCCGGCTGCGGCAATCGGCTCTCCCCCAGAGAAACCCCCAGGCCTTGTCCTAACCGGCTTGTAACAAAGTGACAAGCCTTGGCCTTAAACGGAAAGCTTGATGGCGCAGCCGTGCGATGTGCATCATAGTTCAGCTTTGCAAGGCGATGGACGACAAGGATGATGATAGCGTAGATGCCAATTCTTTGGGATCCCGGTAAAGGGAAGAATGACAGTGTCGCTGATGATAGGAATAGATCATGGTACTGATGCCGATGAAGATGATGCAGGTGATGTGGAGGGGAGAGTTACAGTGTGGGTATTGTCGTCTAGACAGCACGCTGAGAATCACCATTGTTGTTTGCTGCTGGTGACCAAGATTGGTCGTTGTCGTCGTTTTTGTTGTTGTCGTCTTGTCGTTGCTGTACTTCTTGCCTTCGCAGTTGTCGTCGTGCTTGTGAGTACCGGTCATATCTTCTTACTTCTTGTCATGTTCCTAGCGCTCGTCCGTGCAAGGAGTGGAACGGCAGAAAGGAGATCCGCAAGACAGCTTGTGGGCATTTCTATCACACGGACTGCTGCTCGCC